GCTTTGCTTAAAGATTTGAGACTCCCCTGTGGACTCTCTGGGGCATCCTCTCCCCAGTACCTGCTTTCCAGGCTGTGGCTATGTGCAGCTCACAGGTGCAGGCCTGGGCAAAGGCGCCTGGGAATCCTGTCACCCTGTAAGGAGCCTCTTAAAGGGAGAGGAAAGAACTCATAGGCAATAATCAATAGGAAAATAATAAAAGTGTGATGCATCTGCTGTATAGAATATCATGTGACAGAATGGATTAGTTACATCAGAATATCCTGAAAGAGAAAGGTCTGGGACATACTGTCCAGTTAAAAAGCATATGTGCAACACAATGCCATTTATATTAAAAAAAAGCTTCAATTTCAAAGGCACTATGTTGAGTGAGAAAACACAGTCTCAGAGAGTCAAATGCTACATGATTCCATTTATATGATTTATAATTTTTATATGATTGTCTCAAAATGACAGATTATAGACATGGAGGGAAGGTTAGTGGTTGGCAGAGGTTGGGGAAGAGATGGGGGGAGAGCAGGTATAACTATAAAGGAGTAGCTGATGAAGTAATTAGAATAATTTATTGAAGATATAATTCTGTATCTTTCTTGTGGTCATGGATGTGCAAATCTACATGTGATAAAATGACATAGAACTGTATACGTATTTTTACCAATGTAATTTCCTGGTTTTGATATTGTAGTATAGTTATATAAGATGTAATTGCTAGAGGAAACTGGGTGGATCTGGGTACAAGTCTCAAAACAATACCATATATTTCCATAGATATATTTGTAAGTAAATGAAAACAAACAAAAAGCGAAAAGGGTACATACCAGAATGATTGCTTTCTTCATTTGACAGAAGGGAAGTACCTGGGATTAGGATTGGTCAGAGGACACTTTTCCTTTTCCATAATGTTAGAGTATTTTTCCAACTGATATACATTTGTGTATTATTTGTTTGTTTTTAATAAAAAGTATTGTTAACTTTGTAGAGTCAGCCAAAATCAACAAGTATTGATTGAACATGTACTATGTTCCAGATATGGTTGCAACAGTAAAAAGCCAGATACAATCTCTGTCCTCATGGAGGGACAATCCAGCTACACAAATAGCCATTAAACAGATGGCCACATATATAGTGGTTGCCAGAACCAAGAGGCATCATGAGAGATGAAAATGTGGAGCAGAGAACCTCGGGTTCATCTCTGTAGCCTCCACAACCACTCTGTACCCAGTGTATTCACTCACTCACTCACACACTCACTATTTATTCACTCATCAAACATTTGCTGTACCTTTCTTGACCACCCTGAGGAGATGGAGATGAGCAACCGGGCTTCCTGCCTCGGTTACAGAAAGCACAGCCAAGAGACTGACCAATAACAAGTCTAGGCAATGGGTTTGATAAGGACTGATCTGCTCTAGTTGAAATGGTGCTTGGGCAAGTGGGCTGTTCACACAGACTCTACAACATGAATAGTGCCCCCAAGTCCCCACCAAAGTCCTAAGAGCCAGTGGTCCTTAACGTGGGGGTCTGGGTCCCACTGAGTCCTCTCTGTCTGGCTTCAACCTCCATCCACTGTCTCCGCCTCTCAGAGCCCTCTGGGGGATTCCTCAGAGCTCCACGTGGGAACATCTTTCTGTTTTGGCTGCTCAGCCTCCACCTCCCCATCTCCTAGACTCAGCAGTTTGATCATTGTTGAGGGAACCACCTTGCTCTCTCTTTCAATTTTATGTGATTTAATGTAGACAGACTTCCAACCAAGGATCTAGGAATGGGATCATCAGAGCCCGTGAGAGAGTCAACTTCAAAACTTGTGTGAGGATTGTTGAAAAAAGCCCTTGTTTCCATAGGAGTTGTGAGAAGATTTGATGTCAGCCTGAAGCTGCTGGGGCAACCATCTCATCTGAAAATAGAATCAATGGGAGCAAAACAGCTGAGAGGAATCCTGAGTCAAAAGATATCTTTTGAGCACTTGGATCCAGCTATGCCTGAAGGCCTGAGTCTAGAAATTCCTATACTTTCAGTTACATGGGCCAGGAAATCCTCCTTTTTGGCCTAAACCAGTTTGAGTTGGGTTTCTACACAATTTGTAACTGCTAGGGAGTGGAAGGACCTTTGAATGACAGAATGTTAATGCTAGAAGACATTGTATGTATGCATAACTCTTCAAGGGGCCACTTCACTTTTTAACCACTAATAGATCCTTTTTATTACTCCTTCTCTACTGCTACCTTGTTTTGATAGATTATGTGTACAAAAAAAAAACCTAAATTATTCATCAATAAGGGCATTGTTTTTCAATTTCATTGAACACAATGACAATAGCCATCATTTATATGGCCCTATGGTAAATATCATAGACTTAGATGTGAACATTGCCTGCCTTCCCTACCTATAATGGGTCACTTTGGGGAACTAACATCACCTCTCCAAGTCTCCTTTCCTCATCTATGAGATGAGATGTGAATATTATCCACTTCATGGGGCTGTTGTATGGAATAATTAAGAGAATGCATGTGAAGCACATAGCAAGGTGTGAGGATTGGTAGCTGTTAATTAGCATTAAAATTATCGTTATCAGGATGTCTAATCTTCACAGTAATTCTGCAGTGATGTTATTATTCTTACCTTCTGAAGGAGAAAGGTGAGCCTTCGGGAGGTCACAGGACTTGGTTGGCTTGTGGTAGGGTCAAGGTTAGAACCCAAGTGTCCTTGTATTGTAAGTAAGTCCATGTCCACACTTTCTCACCATACTCACTGTCCCAAACACCCCACCACCACACACACACACACACACACACACATACACACACTATTAGAGCAATGAAAGAGCAACATTAAGTTTCTATAACATGTGTTCTCCAAGTCTTAACTGAGCACTCACTAAGTTCCAGGCATTATTCTAGAGGCTGAATGGTGCTAATTAACCTATTATTTCTAATTAGCCTATCTGGTATTAGGTTGGACAACCAACAATTTCTGATGGAATTTTATAAAAATACTTAAAGTAGCTCAAAATACTTAAAATTCTTAAATACTTAAAATAGCTCTTATTAAACATGAGGGCCTAAGCACACACTCTTTAATTTCCATGCCCTCCTTCCCAACTGAACCCTTCCAAAATGGCAAAGATATAAAGAGTCATAAACTTGCAGGACCATGAGAACAAGATATCTGACTAAGGCAAACAAGAGATGTCAACCAAATTGAATGACGTGAGTTTCCAGCTGAAAGGGTCCACCAGGTACCCAAAACAGTGGATGAAGAAAGACAAGGAGACAAGGAGAAGGACCTAAAAACTGTTGGGGAAAGAAAGAGAAAATGGCTCACATTACAAAGACACCCAAACAGAATGGCAAATACCACAAGAATACCAGTGGATTTATCTTTCCCCAAAATTTGGAAGTAAAGCAAAATAAAAGCAGTTTCAACTGTCTGAACCCCAGTTTCATCATCAGTAAATTGGTGATCAAATGTTAGAGTGTGGATTAACAGAAATTATATTTATCATGTGGCGAGCAAGGTCGGAAGTATTCAATAATGTGATGATTGGGCAGTTTCTCTCATTACTGTTCAAAACTCAACTTGATCAGGACACCAAAGCAGCCTGTTCCTCTTTGGGAGGGGTCCAGGGCTCCAAGCATGAATCAGAACAGCTCAGAAATCTCCCCTTGATGTAATCACAAGCTAGGTCACCAAAGTTTTCAGTACCACCCAACCCCGCAGACCTCGGGTTGGGCCCAGGTGAAAAATTCAATTGTGCAATCTCGCCTCATTCCTCAGATGTCTCAGCTGCCCACGTCCGTTAAGGGGGAGGTTACGGGGAAGGCCTGCAAGGGCCAGGCCCTCAGAAGCCGTTCCTTACAGATCATGGGTTGAGATGGACAACCAGAGGCTCTCAGCTGTGGCACTTATCCCCATCTCAACCAAAAGCTCATGCCCCACGATAACCCCACGTCAGCTTTGCAGTCCGTTCCTGCCTCCAATGCTATCAAGACATTTTTGCCTGGGGTACTACAGGCATTCCAAATGGCCCACCCAGTGCCTACCTCACTTTCTCTCAGCTCACCTTCCACACTTTACACTGGTTTTCATTCTAAAACAGATCT